GACATTATAACCGCTCACCACTTTAAATATAATTGCTTCAGTAACACGTTGAGCATCAATATCTACTATAATACCTCAAATATTTGTTATGTAATCTGCTAATTGAAAATCAGATCATGTGATGATTTTCCCTTTGGAATTTCCAAAATCAATCACCTCTTAAATGATGCCTTAAAAACATTTCTCCCTCCCCTCTTTTTTCACCCTCTTTTGTGACGTGTTGTTGTAATTTTCATTAATTAGCATCCTCAAATTATGTGACATGAGCATTTACGTGCAGAATGGCAATCGGTGAATGGATAATATAGAATAAGTGCATTTTGTGCTTGTGAAATGAAAGATAATTAACAGTAGTGGGAAAACATGAATGAAGAAAAGAGACATTGTACTCCTTTTATTTTTATTTATTTTTTATTCATATTAATAATAATTATTAATATATGAAGTGACTTAACTTACTGCCATTTAATATATAATTCATCACAAAATCTCACAATATATTTGAATTATATTTTTCAATGCGACTTTACCAACGTATTTCCCTTACACCGGGTTGGATAATATTTTGACACAGCGCGAATTCTTGTCAAACAGCAGCGGTAGTTGTGTCATGTTCTTAAATTGTTACATTTTCATAAATAAATACACCAGAAATAGCATGCTGTGTACAGAAATGTTTGATAAGCATACACAGTTCACATACCGTCTCGGGTCAGAACCACGTCCGTTGTAGCAACGATGGTTTATTACAGGGATATAAAAGACAGGGACATATGTCCCTGCCTAAGGCTAAAGCACGATATGTCATATTATGTTCCCGTTTGAAACATCAAAATAGAAGTTATACTTCATCACTTATACGGTTTATAAGTAGATATATTTACTTCTTCCTTGTACTAGAAAATACAAAAAGCTAGACCGTACCGACAACGTCAACTCGAATTAGAGTCACGAAAACAAACAAACCAAGTGCCCGAATTTCACCACGAGTTAGAACTCGTAGTATGCACCGGAGATAAACATTTTGTTTACAGCAGTTATTTAAAGTATGGATTATTATTTGGAGAAGAGTATCAGAAGACTTTAGTGTAACCCACATGTGAGTGTCAGAGATTCTACTTTCTATTTACGATAACGAAAGCGGAAGCATACAAGACTGATTTATGCGCACGAACCCCGAACGGAAGTGGGTCCGTCATTTCGTGCTCTGGACAGAATCAATAAGCCGCTCGGCTCTCGCCAAGAGAGGCTTAAAAATAGTTTGTATTACTTTAGGAAAAAGTAGTACTAAGTAGCAATAATTCAATAATGTTTTACCTAATTTGAACATGTGAGATAACTCTTGTAATTGAATAGATATAATAATTACTACCATAACGTATTGTGTCAAATGTGAAACATTTCCTTTGGAATTACAATGAAGTGCAAATGTGCAAATAGTCATTAAAAGGAAGGGTGTCTATAAGCCCTTTTTTGGGCCCCGGTATATTCGGATTTTCACCTCTTTATTTTGTTCAAAGATGTCCTATTGTATGACATGCGAAAAAATTAAGGTAAAACTTTGACCGAAAGTGGGTTTCTGGGGGTACCAAAAGGAGTATGGTAAATCACAAATATATAGTTTGCTGTTTTCAAAATGAGCTTAAAAACCAAATTAATACCATTTCTGTTTTTAAGAACATGCATAAATTAGAAAAGGATATGTAACGGAATGAAAATGACAGAAATTCAATCGTCACTTAAAGATTGTTTATATAAAACGAAAGATTACGTCAGGGGGGTCTTTTCGGTCATTTTCAATTGAAAAGTAATTTGTTTTCTCAATAATTTCCTTTCTAATTAATATTTTGACTTGAAATTTACAACTTCACTCATTTAAGTAGACTTACATAAATTGCATATTGACTACATACTTTCCTTTTGTTTTATACTGAGTTATGGCTTCTAGACACATCTCAAACTTGACTTTTTCAAATATCTCTCAATTTTAACTACACATCAGTGAATCCTACATTGAAATGGTTATTTAATTATGATTAAATTCAACGTCATTAATACATTTTCAAAACTGATTGTGACATACCTCATAAAACTTCTACTTGTTATATCACTCTTTTTTCATTACAGTCGGTTGGAATGTGGTCAGACAACTAATCTGAATACCTTAGTTAGGTCCAAATATAGCTTTAACCACACAAAATTCGCAGGTCCCTGTGCATTTCCTAAGCACTAATGTTCATAATCTAATTAAAAATAGTCCGTGTTTCAGATTAAACTTGAACTTTTTACTCACAAAATGATAAATATCTTACTCGACGTATGTCACAAATTACATTGGTACAGGTTGAGAAAGGAATTTATCAATCTAAATATATATGTTCAGAGGTTGACATATAATTAAAAGAAACCCAAAGAAATGGGTTATCATAGCATTCATCAAAGGGCCGATTTCACTTGGGTAAATAGCAGCCGATTTTCCTTCTTTATCATAAATTCCAATGTTTTCTCGTACTCGTTATGTATTCCGCCATTATACATGCATATATGTTGATTTGAACTTGATTATTTATTAAATATTAAGCGACCAATTTAAATCTGTTCAGGTCAAGTCAACGATATTCATGTCAGTTCAGTCACAGTTCAAGTCTTTACTAGTTTCCTACCGGAACTAAAACAGCAAATCGGAAGCTCCGTTCAGGAAATGGAGAAATGGACCCTGACAGACGAGGTGGGTACAATATGTACATCGTTGTTACGATTTGAATCGTCCTACAAGTTATGCACGTAGCTCAGCTCGTTAAATAAAAACAATGAACTCAATTGGTGTCATTTTAGTATTCTCCTCACTAATTGATCTTGAAAAATATACATTCACGCATTTAACTTTCGCTTTCGTTTTCCACCATATTAAAATTGAAAACGAAATATAAATTATAGGGTTTTAATGTTAAAATGTCTTTGTGGCATTATACTTAGTGGTTGGTTGGAATGAGAACATCAAACAAACAGAAAGGTACAAGATAAAGAATAAATGTTACGTCTTGGGCTTAGATCCAGACAGAGAGCAAGCTACAGATTGTACATCTACATACACTGGGAGTCACAGAATATATAGAAAATCGATACATAATAATAACAATATTTATTCGGTAAAAGCAAGATACAGGTACAAATATCACATATGATCACAGATTTCAATTGCATAATAATCACAGATTTATCACAGTATTTAGATTATCACATCAAAGTTAATATCACAAATTTTGGAGCACTATAAATACAATGTATCTGTTTGACTAAGCTTTAACCTAGGATATCCCATGGAAGCTGGGTGGCAGCTTATTTCCAATGGGGTCCTATAGTATAGATCTTAGTTACTTAGATAACAAAAGGTCCTAAGGATTTGACCTTGTAATATGAATATAAGATGGTATAATTTCTCGTAATAATATATATATGAATAGAATAAGTTGTAATTGGTCAAATATGATGATGATATATTATTTCATCAAAATAAGATGTTATTTTATTTGACGGTATAAGATGGAGTTGTCATTAGCAAATATGATTTCCTTCTGATAATATATATATGTGGGGCTATGCATGATGTTGTTTCCACTTGTAATATTAAAATATCAGTTATATGTATCACTGTACATATCATAATGCAAGATGATGTCATTCTTGCAGATATTAAGTAACAATATAAGATGGTGTTAGGCCATATACATTTATACTGTGGTACTTGTGTGTAGAACAGACAACAGGTGGTTGGGCAATCCCTACCAACCTATTATCTGTCTAACAAATTATAGCAATTTGGGGTATAATACATATATAAAAATGACTTTTAATAAAATAAAGACTGAGGATGATGGTAATAAAATCTTCCATAACATTTATAAAAAGTACATATTATATTGGTACTTTAGTTAAAATTTTGGTAATACATCATATATTTTTAGAAGAAGTTTAGAGTCACCCACTGGGATAGAATAAAAATTACCTTTAGAAGACAAATTCTTGCTCAAAATCATTTTTTGCCAAAACTTGTAAGTACTTTTTTATCTCGCTTTTGAATTTCATCTTGTGATCGACAGATTTTATTGAATGTGGTAAGTTATTCCAATCTTTGATAGCATTATAGAAAAAAGATGATGATTCCACACCTTTTATATAAGGAATGTTGAAATTCAGATCACTGTTCCTGGTAAAGTGTTTTTTCTCTGTTCTAGTAAAATTTTCTTTCATATAGGATGGACATTTGTTATGTTGAATATTAAAGACATGGTTAAAACGGAGCTGTTTCACCCTGCCCCCAACATCCAACATATTAACTTGTTCCAATTCCCGATGGGTGACTCTTGATCTATTATCAAGTTTCAGAATAAATCTGACCACTTTATTCTGTGTAATTTGAACTTTTTGTCGAAGTTTTTTGGATATGTTTTCGAACCAGCAGCTAGAAGCATAGTCAAAATGACATTGGATCAGTGCCGACACCAGGGTTTTTCTAGATCTAAAATTGAGACAGTCACGGTGTCTATATAGAAACCACAATTTCTGGTTCACTTTTTTTTAAAATATTTTGGACAATTTGTTGTCCAATATAATACCAAGATATTTGACACACACCTGAGGCATAATTATATTACCGTAACACGAAACAGAAAATGAGCCTTCAGGTAATTTGGAAAGTTTCCTTTTGGGGCCAAACAAAATACTCTCTGTTTTTCCAAGATGTAAGGATAATTTGTTATCTGTTAGCCAATCGTGACATGACTCAAGTTTTTCGATAGATATTTTGAAATAATGTTTGGGTCTTTGTGCGAGAAAATAATTGCACTGTCATCTGCGTACAGAAATAATTTGCATCCTGGGTCAATACTGATCCGCATGTCATTTACATAAATGAGAAAAAGAAGCGGTCCCAATAAACTCCCTTGAGGTACCCCGCATGTTATATTACAAATATCTGAGTTCACATTATTGGTATTGACTAATTGTTTTCTGTTGGTAAGGTATGATGTGAACCACTCCACCGACTCAATGCCAATTACACCAAGTTTATCACACAAAATCCCATGGTCAACTGTATCAAAGGCCTTCTGTAGGTCTAGTAAAACCATTCCAGTGAAGAGACCTTTAGACGTCTGGGACTTTATGTGATCAACCAGGTGAATTAAACAGGAGTCAGTGGAATAGGATTTTCTAAAACCAGATTGGAACTCATACAAAATGTTGTTATCAATCAAAAATTGTTCCAGTTGTTTATAAATTGCTTTTTCTAGGATTTTTGAAACAATACTCAAAATACTAACAGGTCTGTAATTTTCAGCCTTCAATTTATCTTTTTTCTTGAATAGTGGTTTTACCTTTGCAATCTTGAGATCATCTGGTACAACATTTTCAGATATGGACTTATTTATTAAAAATCTTACAGGCACCTTGATTACTGATGCAGCATCTTTCAGAAAACGAGCTGGAATACAATCTAGACCAGTACTTTTAGTGATATTGAGATTACAAAGTTCCTTATATACAAAATTTTCAGAAACATGTTTGAGGTGAAATTTGTTTTGTTTTGGATTTCTCCTAATGTAGAAAGATTTTATTAAAGTTTGTGAGGTTTTGAATAAGCCTTTACATGGAGGAAGGCCTTCAACAAGTTTGGAAGCAATGGTTGTAAAAAAATTGTTAAAATGATTGGCAATGGTTAAGTTTTCATGACAATTTTCACCTTCAATGTTCAAAACTACATTCATATTCGTTTTTCTTTTAGTTTCATATCCCAAATTTTTGAAATGTTTCCATAAGTTTTTTGAATCATTTTTGTTTTCCTCAATCTTGTGGTCAAAATATTGATTTTTTGCTTTTCTAACCATTCTCTGCACATGATTTCTATGTTTGCGGTAATGCTTATAGTCTGATGTTTGGCCAAATTTTCTAAATGTGTGCATAAATGTATCCCTAGTTCTTATCTCTTCCAGAATTTCTGCTGTCATCCACGGTTCTGTCTTTTGTTTAAGTCTAATTTCCTTCAAAGGAGCAGTATTATCCAATGCTTTTATAAAAATATCATGGAATGATTTCCAGCATTCATTTAAATTATCAGCAAACATACATTTTTCCCCATGGAACCTCCAAAAGAAGTTTCTCAAAAGATTCTTTTTTATAGTTTTTGGTTGAACGAATATGAATGTTGTTATGCTTATTAAAAACACATTTAGAGGATTTTCTGGTACAGAATATTAAAAAATGGTCGCTGAGACCTATCGATAATACGCCAGATTGACAAATCTTTTCTTTATTATTGCACAAAATATTATCAATCAATGATTTGGTAGTGTTCGTAATTCTAGTGGCTTCCTTTATAAGTAGATACATGTACGTGTGTAAATCGACGATCGGTAGCAATAAGAAAGAAATAATATTTTATTGCCGTTTTCGTCGTAGGAATAAGTCGATAACAATGTACTTCAAATTCAATATCATTACTATAAAAGAAGTGGCTAGCTAATTTATTCCCTCATACAGAAACTAAAAATCTATTGAAGGTTTTCAAGGCGAGGGGGTGCAGGGGAGAATTGGCACTTTGTACTGGCAATGTATGTAATCACTTGGATGATGAGTTACCTTTTAATTTACTACTGCACAGCTCTCATCTGTTATCTGTTTTTTAAAAATGGGTATGACTTATTTGTTGTCATTGTAATATAACATGCCCTCATGTCTACATCCCAGCTTAGGGTTCACTCATTGCTAAAATCCTGTTACGGCAAATCGACAGTTTATTTGTTTACTTTTGTAGAATTCAAATGATGTGATGTAGAAGAAGAGGGAACATATTAGCATAATGGATTCAACAGCAGATAATTGTCCAATATGTTGGGATGACTTTAAGGAGCCAAAGTTGTTGAAGTGCTGTCATTCCTTTTGCTGCAAGTGTCTGAGGAACTACACTCGTAAAAATAGGGGACGTAGTGAGCTGACTTGTCCGCTATGTCGACAAGTCTGGGAAATACCAGAAAAAGGTGTTGGTGAATTTTTAACAAACTATTTCATAGCAGACACAGATTTTAAGCTCGAGGGAGTTGTTCTACCCTGTGGTTGCTGCAGGAAGGAACGTGTCCTTAAAACATGTTCACACTGCAGTCAGGCCATGTGTGGTGAATGCGCATTTGATCACCGGGAAGCGCTGCGACTGTCAGGTGAGGATCATCTTACCGTGTTTGACAGTAGAGATGACAACGCTGCTGACTCTGACTCGGATGAATACGAGTCTATGGACTCAGGTCGACGACAGCAGCGACGCAATTCGTCGACATTAGCTATACCCTTTTCTCTGTCTATTGCCTTGCCTCCGATGCGAACAAACTTGAAAGTAGAACCTTTATCAACATTTGTTATAGAGAGTGAATTTCCAGGCAGCAGTGAACGTCCATTTATCAACTGTATACATCCTGTATCGGAGGATGAGTGTTGGATAATTCCTACGGCTGGACCAGACTTGGTCCGTTATACATGGGAAGGAGAGAGAAAGCAAATCATTCACCTTGGTGGTATACTAACATCACTGGTCTGCCAGCCTGATGGTGCATTCCTTATCTCTCTTTGGGGAGACAAGTCAATTGTGGCACTGTTGTCCGACTCCATGGTCAGGGGTTTTTCCAACACTGGAGATATTCATCCTCATTCTTTGGCGGCCTTTCCAGATGGACGTGTAGTGTTTTGTGGACCGTCTTCAAAATCTGCTGAAAAATCAGACCCAGAAAAGGAAAAAACAACAGTCAATGAAGGAAGTCTGTCCATATTGTCTAAAGATGGGTCTCTGATCAGAGAAGTAAGACACAGTAGAACAGGTCCGATATTTGAGAATCCAGCAGCCGTTGCTGTCAATCCTGTGATTGGATCCATAGCAGTTGCAGACAAAGGAAGGGGATGTGTTTTCCTTTTGTCCCCTGATGGTGAAATGTTTTCTCAGTACAAGGGAGCTAACCGCAGACAGCACTTCCCATTCCTTTTAGCAGCACAGGAAGATGTCCAGTTCCTGCCCCTGAATCTGTGCTTTGATAAAACGGGAAACTTGTACATATTAGATGCATCCTCAAGATTAATCCACATCCTGAATCCACATGGTGAATTCTTGGGCATCATGGCACCAGGGGACATTGAGGAGTTTTCTCATCCATTTAGTATAGCTATTGATCACAAGGGCAGAATGTGGATTGGAGATGAGTCAGACCACTGTGTCAGAGTTTTTCAGATTTGTCTTTATGTAAATCATTTCCCTAGGGACAATTAATTTGTTAAATGAAAATTTGTAATGTGAACATTATTTTTTGTCAAGTTTTTTATAACAAAGAAAATGCAGCGGTTTATGCCAAAAAGTGCACATTTTTTTTTCGGTATATACCGTATATACCAAAACAAAATCTTGGGCATTCTTTATAATTTAATTTTAAAAAAAGTAGACAAACACGTTGTAAATGCACAGTTAAAGATTTATTTAATTTTTACGTAAACTGAACATTTGCGCTAAAAAAAAAGCTGTGTTGTAATTTTGCATTCTGAAGTGTAAAAAGTATTTCGGTCATCAGTTGTTTTTCTTTTTAGGTATATACGATATATACCAAAAAAAATATTATGGGGGAGATAGGCAAAATTAAATTATAAAGAAGAATACTTTGATGCATATCCATATGAGTGATATGTCAGATATTTGACGGGATAACCATTGAATTTTCTATTCATTACATTTTTTTTTAAAGTAACGCATCATAGATATTTCTACATCAAAAAATTGCTGGAATTTGTAGCGTTATGTTTGATGCCCGGTTCTTATGACGTCACACTTACGCTTGACAACAAAGCAGAGCGTCATTTTGAATAGGTCACTCAATGCAACTGAACTCTGCCGTTTGCTGCTATTATCTGGTTAGGTTTCCACACAAAATTATAACAATTGTGTAGTTATATAAATGCTATAATTTATGTTTCAGCAGCTAATAAAAATAAACGCTTATTCTACTGTCGCTTCATCTAAACTTACAACTGAACATTTTGATTGGATAATACTAAAGGTGATATCTTCACATGTGAAGATAAATCCTTTCACTGACCTTTTTTTCAAGTGGATAATTCCTGATGTTTCACTGGTAAAAATGTTATAAATACGGTTAATGTATGGTTTAATTATTGTAGACCGTAGGTGGCCTAAATTTCCCAGAAGGCTTTCTGCAGGCATGGGGAAGCACCGGAAGTGTACAAAGCTTGTACTGATCTAACCAAGCAGCGCTTCACACCACTTAGGGGTTTGAAAAAAATAACTAGAGATTTTGTCTTTATAATTATAATTTAATAATATCACAACTGTACTTCATAGTTTATTATTTTCTGTGAAATATAATGTTTAAGTTGATAAAATAATTAACAAATATATATTGCTGCTCAAAATTTTGGCTTTAATATATGAATTGAGGGATTCATTCTTAAAAATACCACAACAGCCTTTAAATTTGGATTTTTAAAAATTTATTTTTTATGTTTTTTTTATCATAAATAAATTACAAGACAATTTAACTTAATAACCCACTAATACCAGTGTATTTGAAAGGAAACTTGGTGAAAAAGTTTTAATAATAATAATTTGAGGTTCTTGTATACCGCTTCATCACAACTTAGTTCGTAGGTCGCCTAAAAGCGGTTCACAAATTATTATCTGTGGTTATAGGGCCTTTACAACCAGCCAATATCTTTCTGAGCTCCCTGGGGAGCATACAGCAGGTGCTGCCGTTTCGGCCCTCACAGCTAGCATTCACTGGTTTACTCATTTACAGCTGAGTAGACTGGAACAAGCAGAGTAAAGTATCATGCTCAAAGATACAACACAGTGCTGTGCCGTGAGTCGAACCCACAACCCTTCATTCATGAGCCTGGCGTCCTACCCCTAGACTACCGTGCCTCCTTTTAACGGGAAAGTTTTGAGGACATGTTTTTATGATAATAAATGTAATATTAACATAATATAACACAACATTTGTTCATAGTCTGTTAGATCTTTTGTTAATTTTGGCACCAGATTTTACTTTTTGGTGGGATTTATCATAAGTATTTGTACCAAATCACTTACAATAACTAACATATCACTGTAATGATTTAACATGTGTCACTGTAATGATTTAACATGTGTCATTGTAATGATTTATCATGTGTCACTGTTATAATTTATCATGTGTCATTGTAATGATTTATCATGTGTCACTGTAATGATTTATCATGTGTCATTGTGATGATATATTTTGTGTCGTTGTACTGATATATCATGTGTCATTGTACTGATATATTATGTGTCATTGTAGTCATTTATCATGTGTCATCGTAATTTTTTATCATGTGTCATTGTAATGTTTTATCATGTGTCATTGTAATGTTTTATCATGTGTCATTGTACTGATATATCATGTGTCATTGTTATGATTTATCATTTGTCATTGTTATGATATATCATGTGTCATTGTAATGTTTTATCATGTGTCATTGTACTGATATATCATGTGTCATTGTACTGATATATCATGTGTCATTGTACTGATATATCATGTGTCATTGTCATGTTTTATCATGTGTCATTGTAGTGATATATCATGTGTCATTGTTATGATTTATCATGTGTCATTGTAATGACTTATCATGTGTCATTGTGATGATTTATCATGTGTCATTGTACTGATATATCATGTGTCATTGTACTGATATATCATGTGTCATTGTCATGTTTTATCATGTGTCATTGTAATGATATATCATGTGTCATTGTTATGATTTATCATGTGTCATTGTAATGACTTATCATGTGTCATTGTGATGATTTATCATGTGTCATTGTACTGATATATCATGTGTCATTGTACTGATATATCATGTGTCATTGTCATGTTTTATCATGTGTCATTGTAATGATTTATCATGTGTCATTGTAATGTTTTATCATTTGTCATTGTTATGATATATCATGTGTCATTGTACTGATATATCATGTGTCATTGTTATGATTTATCATGTGTCATTGTTTTGATTTATCATGTGTCATTGTGATGATTTATCATGTGTCATTGTTATTGTACATCATGTGTCATTGTTATGATTTATCATGTGTCATTGTTTTGATTTATCATGTGTCATTGTTATTGTACATCATGTGTCATTGTAGTCAATTATCATGTGTCATTTTAGTCATTTATCATGTGCCATTGTGTTGATTTATCATGTGTCATTGTTTTGATTTATCATGTGTCATTGTTATGATTTATCATGTGTCATTGTACTGATATATCATGTGTCATTGTGATGATTTATCGTATGTCATTGTAATGACTTATCATGTGTCATTGTGATAATTTATCATGTGTCATTGTAATAATTTATCATGTGTCATTGTGATGGTATATCATGTGTCATTGTAGTCATTTAGCATGTGTCATTGTAATGACTTATCATGTGTCATTGTAGTCATTTATCATGTGTCACTGTAGTCATTTATCATGTGTCATTGTAGTCATTTAGCATGTGTCATTGTGATAATTTATCATGTGTCATCGTAATGATATATCATTTGTCATTGTTATGGTATATCATGTGTCATTGTAGTCATTTATCATGTGTCATTGTAATGACTTATCATGTGTCATTGTAGTCATTTATCATGTCATTGTAATGATTAATTATGTGTAATTGTAATGATTTATCATGTGTCATTGTAATGACTTATCATGTGTCATTGTAGTGATTTTTCATTTTAATGATTTATCATGTGTCATTGTGTTGATTTATCATGTGTCATTGTGTTAATTGTCATGTGTCATTGTAGTCATTTATTGTGTGTCACTGTAATGATGTATCATGTGTCATTGTTATGATTTATCATGTGTCACTGTAATGCTTTATCATGTGTCATTGTGATGATTTATCATGTGTCACTGTAATAATTAATCATGTGTCACTGTGATGATTTATCATGTGTCACTGTGATGATTTATCATGTGTCATTGTTATGATTTATCGTGTGTCACTGTAATGATATATCATGTGTCATTGTAGTCATTTATCATATGTCATTGTAATGATTTATCATGTGTCATTATAATGATTATCATGTGTCACTGTAATAATTTATCATGTGTCATTGTTATGACTTATCATGTGTTATTGTGTTGATTATCATGTGTCATTGTAATGTTTAATCATGTGTCATTGAAGTCATTTATCATGTGTCATTGTTATGATTTATCATGTGTCATTGTAGTCATTTATCATGTGTCATTGTAATGTTTTATCGTGTGTCACTGTAATGATTTATCATGTGTCACTGTAATGATTTATCATGTGTCATTATTATGATTTATCGTGTGTCATTGTAGTTATTTATCATGTCTCACTGTAATGATTTATCATGTGTCATTGTTATGATTTATCGTGTGCCATTGTAGTCATTTATCATATGTCGTTGTACTGCAATGATTTATCATGTGTCACTGTAATAATTTATCATGTGTCATTGTCGTGTTTTATCATGTGTCACTGTAGTGATTTATCATGTGTCATTGTTATGGTATATCATGTGTCACTGTAATAATTTATCATGTGTCATTGTCGTGTTTTATCATGTGTCACTGTAGTGATTTATCATGTGTCATTGTACTGATTTATCATGTGTCATTGTTATAATTTATCATGTGTCATTGTAATGATTTATCATGTGTCACTGTAATGAGTTATCATGTGTCATTGTAGTGATATATTTTGTGTCGTTGTACTGATATATCATGTGTCATTGTAATGTTTTATCATGTGTCATTGTAATGTTTTATCATGTGTCATTGTTATGATATATCATGTGTCATTGTACTGATATATCATGTGTCATTGTTATGATTTATCATGTGTCATTGTTATGATATATCATGTGTCATTGTACTGATATATCATGTGTCATTGTTATGATTTATCATGTGTCATTGTAATGACTTATTATGTGTCATTGTGATGATTTATCATGTGTCATTGTACTGATATATCATGTGTCATTGTACTGATATATCATGTGTCATTGTCATGTTTTATCATGTGTCATTGTAATAATTTATCATGTGTCATTGTAATGTTTTATCATTTGTCATTGTTATGATATATCATGTGTCATTGTACTGATATATCATGTGTCATTGTTATGATTTATCATGTGTCATTGTTATGATATATCATGTGTCATTGTANATATACATTGGGCTATATGTTATGACATTGAAGCAGTTATGATCCCCACCCCATGTATGTAAGCAGATATACATTGGGCTATATGTTATAACATTGAAGCAGCTATGATCCCCACCCCATGTGTGTAATCAGATATACATGGGGCTATATGTTATAACATTGAAGCAGTTATGATCCCCACCCCATG